CTCGAGAAAGCTGGGATAGAAGGAACTTACTTAAACATCATAAAAGCCATCTATGGGAAGCCCTCAGCTAACATCTTCCTCAACAGAGAAAAATTGAGAAATTTCCCCCTGAGATCAGGAACACGACAGGGATGTCACTCTCACCACTGTTGGTTAACATAGTGCTAGAAGTCCTAGCATCAAAATCAGACAACAAAAGGAAACAAAAGACATCAGAATTGGTAAAGAAGAAGTCAAACTTTCACTTTTCACAGATGACAGGATACTCTACATAGAAAACCCAACAGACTCCACCAGAAGCCTACTAGAACTGATCCAAGAATTCAGTTGCAGGGTACAAAATCAACGTACAGAAATTGGCTGCATTTGTATCCACCAAAAATGAAGCAACAGAAAGAGAAATCAAGAAACTGATCCCATTCACAATTGCATAAAAAACCATAGAATACCTAATACACTTAACGAAAGATATAAGATATCTGTATGGTGAAAACTGTAGAAAACTAATGAAGGAACTTGAAGAAGACACAAAGAAATGGAAAAGCATTCCATGCTTCTAGGTCAGAAGAATAAATATTGTTAAAATGTCATTACTACCCAAAGCAATCTACACATTCAGTGCAACCCTAATCAAAATTACACCAGCATTCTTCTCAAAACGAGAACAAACAATCCTAAAATTTGTATGGAACCACAAAAGATCTCGAATAGCCAAAGTAATATTGAAGAAGAAAACCAAAATGGGAGGCATCACCATCCCAGACTTTAGCCTCTACTACAAAGCTGTAATCATCAAGACAGTATGTTATTGGCCCAAAAACAGACACATAGACCAATGGAATGGAATAGGGAATCAGAATTGGACCCACAAATGTATGGCCAACTAATCTTTGACAAAGCAGGAAAGAGTATCCAATGGAAAACGACAGCCTCTTTTAACAGATGGTGCTGGGAGAACTGGACAAAAACATGCAGAAGAATTAAACTAGATCATTTTCTCACAGCATACATAAAAATAAACTCAAAATGGATAAAGGACCTGAATGTGAGACACGAAACCATCAAAACCTTAGAAGAGAAAGATGGAAGAAACCTCCTTGACCTCAACTGCAACAATTTCTTACTTGACACATCCCCAAAGGCAAGGGAATCAAGAGCAAAAATGAACTCTTAGGACCTCATCAAGATAAAAATCTTCTGCAAGGCAAAGGAAACAATCCATAAAATAATAGGCAACTGATGGAATGGGAAAAGATAGTTGCAAATGACATATCAGATAAAGGGCTAGTATTCAAAATCGATAAAGAACTCCCCAAACTCCACTCTCTAAAAGCAAATAATCTAGTGAAGAAATGGGGAGAAGACATGAACAGACACTTCTCCAAAGAGGACATCCAGATGTCCAACAGACACTTGAAACGATGCTCAGCATCCCTCCTCATCAGGGAAATACAAATCAAAACCACACTGAGATACCACCTCACGCCAGTCAGAGTGGCTAAAATGAGCAAATCAGAGAACCTTAGATGCTGGTGAGGATGTGGAGAAATGGGCACTCTCCTACAATGCTGGTAGGAGTGTAAACTGGTACAACCCCTCTGGAAAATAGTATGGAGGTTCCTTCAAAAAATTAACACTAGAGGGGCGCCTGGGTGGCTTAGTCGGTTAAGCGTCCGACTTTCGCTTAGGTCATGATCTCGCGGTTCGTGGGTTCGAGCCCCGCATCGGGCTCTGTGCTGACTGCCAGCTAAGAGCCTGGAGCCTGTTTCAGTCTGTGACTCCCTCTCTCTCTGACCCTCCCCTGCTCACGCTGTCTCTCTCTCTCTCCTAGAAATAAATAAAACATTTAAAAAAAAAATTAACACTAGAACTCCCCTATGACCCATCAGTAGCACTGCTAGGAATTTACCCAAGGGATACAGGCGTGCTGACGCATAGTGGGACATGTACCCCAATGTTCATAGCAGCACTCTCCACAATAGCTAAAACATGGAAAGAGCCTAAGTGTCCATCAACTAATGAATGGGTCAAGAAGATGTGGTATATCTATACAATGGAATACTACATGGCAATGAAAAAGAATGAAATCTGCCCATGTGTAGCAACATGGTTGGAACTAGAGGGTGTTACGCTGAGCAAAATAAGTCAGGCAGAGAAGGACAGATACCATATGTTTGCACATATAGGTAGACTAGGAGGAAGCTAACGGAGCACCATGAGGGTGAAGAAGGGGAAAAATAGTTGGGGAGAGGGAGGGAGGCAAACCATGAGAGACTCCTGAATGCTGAGAACAAACTGAGGGCTGATGGGGGGGGTGGGGGAGGGAGGTGATGGGCATGGAGGAAGGCACTTGTGGCGATGAGCAATGAGTGTTATATGGAAACCAACTTGACACTAAACTATTAAAAAAAAAAAGATTAAGGGTGAACATAAGGTGCTGTGAGATTTAGCTCAACCTGGAGATTTGGTGAAGATTCAATCTGCATACTTATTTGCTCTCTGGCCATCATGCCATTGTTGTTAACTATAGCAATGATGCTATTCTGAAAGCAGCGAGGCATGTCAGTATTATTCAGTTTTTGAACTCAGAGTCCTTATAAGAAAGATTATTCTTAAGTAGGTGATGTTACCAAGGGAAACTATTCCCATACTTGTGCCTGTAGTTATTCAATTTAAAATTCAGTGACCTAAAGCAAAACGAATTATTGGCAGGGGACAGAAACATCAAAAAGATCATCTAGTACAAAGAATCTTATACTAATAATAGAATTGTGGTTCTAATTTTAAAACATAATCAAATATCCTGGGACACCTGGGTAGTTCAGTTGGTTGAGTGGCCCACTTGATTTCAGCTGAGGTCATGATCTTGCAGTTCATGAGATTGAGCCCCCTATCAGGCTCTGTACTGACAGCACAGAACCTTCTTGGGATTCTCTCCCTCTCTCTGCCCATCCCCTGCTCTTGCATGCTTGCACTTGCTTTCTCAAAATAAATAAATAAACTTAAAAAAATAATGAAGTATCCCACTTTAAAATATCTTTCCCTTTTGTTAGTGCCAGAAGAGTAGACAAGTATTGGCACAAGAATTTGTATCACATATATACATATGAAGATCATGAGTTTTGTTTGTAATTTCCTAGAAGATTGAAACTTTCAATTAGTGCCTTCCAAAGCAAAGGAGTCTTCCAAAGCAAGAGTACTTGAGCAGCAGTTCTATCACTGTCATTCATTAACTTCGAGTTTTTAACCAACTCAATATTTTAAACTTTTTACCTAAAATAAATTGCTGTATATTTTATTTTGTTTTTCAAAAAATATGATATGCAAAGTAACAGCCCCATACATTTTAATATAGTTTGCAATCTCCTTGTGAACAAATAGTTACACTTTACTGCCACTTAAATGAAGAATAACCATTCATCTGTAACATACAGATACAGAAGGCTTTGGATTTTCATTTTAAAGTGCTTAATTATCTGCATAAAGAGAGAAATAAAATAGTCTTGGCCAAGTTCATGAGGGTTTGAAATTACTTTTCTTTTTATAAATGAGCAACAAAGACTCCTCAATGTTGCAAGCCGTTGTGTGGCCATAAGCCAACCATAGAAGAAAATGTTAAAAAGAACAAGGGGATCAGGAATTAAATTTAAATACATGAGGCAAGAACTAAACTCAGAAGTTGAGAGATGTAGGTGGTATTTCCAGACACAGGACAGTCTAAAATATTTGTAAGAAGAGTCTAGTCAGCAATAAAGTTAAATCTTTATGTTAAGTATCCCAATGTGGGAAGTTACATAATACAAGGTTATTTTTGAGGATTTTCTGCTTCCAATCATTCACAAACTTATGTTTCCAATATTCCTATTTATGAAAGTACTCAACATCAGTAAGAGACCACATAAAACAGTATTAATTCATGAACCAAATGCCTTTGAATGAGAAAACATTTTTCATGAAAACCTAATTGTCATTTTCAAGTAATTCCAGTTCAGTACTGTAACTTCCAAGTTTGCTAGGGAAGTAAGTATACCACAGAAGAAAAGGGTAATAGATTTAACCTTGAAACAAGGTGACTGTCATATAGTTGTTGAAGGAATTTACTTATTATCAGATAAAGTATTTATAGTATTTATTCCCTCTAGAGATATAAAATGGTGAATCAATATGCAGTTCAAGATATTTATTTGAAACTAAAGGAGGAAGATATGGCTCTAACTTTTGAAAACCAAAAGAGAAAAAAAATCAGCTCTAATGTAGTTTATCTTTAGATGCCAGATTTAACATTAAACAATTCAAAAGCTAAATGCTATTTCTCAAATTCTTCTTTCATCTATTTTTACACTTTATATGAACTTACTGTATATAAAATAGGGATTTGAAAATATTTATTTAGAAGGAAATGCTTAATGTTATATAGATAGCTACTATTATAATTTATTTAAATACATAATCTACTGATCAATTCATCTATCCATCCATCCAGGCATCCATTTTATCCTTCTCAAACCTTTCAGTCTATTGATATTAGCCATCCTCTGACTGCTCTTGAATACACATGGGTGTCCTCAGCAAATACTTGCACACATGCAAAGAGGAACAAAACAACAACCTCTGACCAAAAAAGCTTATGTTTATCATTTTCTTTAAGCACCTAGTTATATAAGGAGATTCTTTGTTTTGTTCTGGGTCTGCTCAAGTCTCATAAGGCTTACCTTGCATATCCAGTGGGGATTCAAATGAAATTCTTCTTTGAGAAACGGCAGTTTTTTTTTCATATAGTTGTTCCCTTGCCTACTCTACCTGGTTTGAAACATTGTCAACTAAAATTTATGCTGCTAATATAAAAACAGCCTATACAAATTCATCCAGACAGTCTGAATAGAGAGTAAGTTCCAAACTTACTACACAGTAAATGCAGAGAGAGAAAGAGAGAGAGAGAGAGAATGAACGAGAAAGAGAGAGAGAGAAATTATCAAAATGCTTAAAGAAATAAAGGATATTGTCATCTTCTCCACAAACTTATCATGTTGATTTTCTGCTTCGGGGAATTTCTTGATGTCACGTTGCAGATGAACAATGTGTTGTTCCATTGCTGCAAGGTTGCTCTTGAGAATTTGAGCTGAAACTAAAGAACAATATGCAAAGTGTTTAGAATTATTTTACCAAATATTCCATAAAAAAACTAAACGTAAACAATATCAGTTAAAATGTTTTTAATGAGCAGAATAGTTCCATGAAGTTAACTCACATCTTTCAGAATTGCTGCTCATAAAAATTCTACTCTCTATGAAATAAGTGGAAATGTGTAATATAATATACCGAATCATCATGTTTAATATGAGAATGTCACCATTTTATTCAGCCATTAGTTTAGATGAAGCCATTTCTATTTAAATTTATTGATGGAATTCCTAATATTTCATTCTTTAAAACCCAATTTGAAGATTAAAGAGAAACTAAGTTTCAATGAGATCTTGCTATATTGATGCATGTTCTTGGCTATATAAATGATTTAAAGTTAAGTCTTATAAAAGGATCAAATATTTTGTTTTGTTGAGATATCCTGATTTTTATAAACCAACATGTATGGTAAAAGTCCTGTCTTTAGTACTTTTCATACACATAGAGATGTGAAAAATTACTGTTGATACATTCAGAGGATTTAGAGCAAATCCCAGAGAATACATATGCACATACATACCCACAAAGCTTCAGTGTGCCCTCAAACACCATCATTAATTGCTTTAATTACCCCAAACATTATCTGTACTTTTATTTTTCTCTCCTCATTGACAACCAATAGTTTTAAGTATTGTATTCCCACTGCTACTAAATACATACACATTTCCCAGATCTTTTATGATGCTCTCTCTGTGCAGAGTTATTTTTTTAATGGACACTATTTTATAGATACTCTATTACTGCATGACTGCCAATTATATATGGAGACACTTTTATCAATAACAATGGCATTTGACAGCGTTCTAGCTGAAAAGACAAGGTTTAGTATTAGAATTTAATAGGTTATCCTATGACATTGGTTTCCAAATCCTGGCCTCTGAAACACTGTTCTTTTCATAAAAGATTATGAAACAGAAATAGAGTAATATTACAATTCTCTTTTTAAAGGAAATTTTGGTTTCATTCAGAGGTTTATCCAAATTGCACTGAAAAATTCAAGAGACTGACAAAAATCAACCTCTTGGAAAATTCCAGCCAAACTCTTCTGATACAAATTCATCACACTGATACTCACACCTTTATAAGTCAACAAGGAGAAACTTCCTTAAATCTACATGGAAGTTCATGAAACTGAAAATCAAACACCAACACTAAAGACAGTTTTTTTTCCTATTAATCTGTCAGTTCAAATAACTCTTTCCAATTAAGTTCCATTTGTTTAGCTCTGACAAGCTTGGAAATTATTCTTTATCAGAGAGGTCTGAGTTTTGTCTTGCCAAAAATTTGCTAATGTCTTGACAATCATTGTTTGCTTTATTTAAAGGATGAGATTGCCATGGAAAAATTTTTTCTTACTTTAAAACTGAGTTTTTTCACTTGTGTTTTTCCATTAGAGTCTCAATAATTATTCACAAAGTTTTGTTCTTCGCCGTGTGCTTGATTGAAAAAAATGAAGGTATGAAATTCACAAGTTGTTGATGTCTTTTGGTTACATAAAAGAAATAAACTCATAGTAACTTTCTGCAATAAACAAAATGTGCCCAAAGGCCAGATTTAGGTCACAATATTAATCCTCCTACTACAAGCAATAGTAATTCCAGTAGTGAAAATGGGGTGATGATGAGGATTCATCTTTTGATTGTTCAATATAGAAATAGCCTAATCAAATGCTATATACACAAAAGTCTAGGTATCTCAAATAACAAGAGACAGTATTTTAATCAAGTTGAATTCTGAATAAAGTATTATTTGCCAGACATCTGTCCTCTTCAATTTTACATGTCTAATACTAAATTCTCTGAAATCCCTCCAGAGCTCTAGCCCAAATTCTTTACCATTTAGAGGCACTTTGGTTTGTTCAAGTGATTTTCCACATATCATCTTCTACTTTGAGAAGTATGTTTGTGTACATAAGCACATAAGCACAGAGCCTCCATTATAAAACCTCAAGCTACATAATGGTAAGATCTTTATCTAATACTTTGCTTTTCTCTCTGTATTTCTCATATATAATACTAAATAAATGTTGAAATGAATATACATATTTCAAAAAGTTTTGGTTCAGACTTAAATTTATGCCTACTATTTTCTAAACTTTTTAAAAGTTTATTTATTCTGAGAGAGAGACAGAGAGACAGAGACAGAGAGACAGAGAGGGAGAGAGAATCCCAAGCATGCTCCACATGGTCAGCACAGAGCCTGATGTGGGGCTCCAAATCACAAACCATGAGATCATGACATGAGCCAAAATCACGAGTCATATGCTTAACCAACTGAGCCACCCAGGTGCCCCTATTGTTTTTTTAATTTATTTTTTAAAAGTTTTTATTTAAATTCCAATTAGTTAATATACAGTGTAATTTTATTTTCAGGTGTACAATATAGTCATCAACACTTCTATAAAACTTCTTGGTGCTCCTCACAACGAGTCCCTATCCTTATGCTACGTGAAATAAATCAGAGAAAGATAGCATATGATTTCACTCATATGTGGAATTTATGCTCACTTCTGCAAATGAATGTGCATATAGAGGTTAAATACAATCATATCAATTATTATGTGAGTATGGGAAAGAAGCAGGGAGTTTAAGTTTGTCTAACAATAGGTAGAGGTGGCAGGGTTGCAGGAGATGCTTAGATGAATGGGAAAGCAAGGAACTGGGGTAAGGAAGGGAAGGAAGGGACACCTTCATTAGGTTCCCCTAACGGCAATATTATGCCTGAACAGAAGAGAATAAAATACTGGAGGTGTGATAATCCAAGGATTCTACCTCACATGCAATTTCATCTCTGCATTAAATGAACAATACAATTCTTTAAATGCATATCCTTAAACAATGGAATTATGGTATCTTAGGGTTAGAAGTCATATTAAAATGGATTTTGGACCAGCCTCTCAAATTTTAAAAACACGAATTCTGCAATGTCACAGTCTACATTCCTAGAAAACAGAACCAAGACAAAGCCTGCATGTTACATCCTTATTAAGGGGTGAAGGTGGGGTATAACTGGAGGGAAATGGGCATGAAGAAAAAGGGAAGAAAGTGAATACAAGAGAGTAAATTACTGAACTGGCCATAGCTTTACAAAAATTACAGGTGGTTGCTTTGGCTCCATGCTTGGAAGGGCCCTAAACATTGTTTAATGCTTTGTTTTCACTGTTTACAAATTCTTACTTTAAATAGAGCCCTGCATTTTCACTTTTTGCTGGACCCTACTAATCATGTAATCAGTCCTGGTCTTCAGATGTGACAAATGAAAGAACTGTAATTCGGAAGAATTGGTTACAGGGGGTGAGCAATTCACCTATTGATGCCTCCTCATTTTCTATTCTCTCATTGGTAAATTTCCGTTTCAAGGTGTTAACTTCCCATTTTGGCTAGGGAACAAGACAAGTGGCCAGGCTTGGAGGTGGGGAAGTGGTGGTGGCATAGAAAGGGTGCTTAGTGGATCTACAGTGGTGTATAAACCAGACGCAGAACAGATGATTCACTATATCCTAAGTGGCTTATTTCCTTTTTGGCAGTTGATATAATTAGAAAAATTTTTGTTGGGGCACCTGGTGGCTTAGTCGATTAAGCGTCCAACTTCGGCTCCAGTCATGATCTCACAGTTCGTGGGTTCGAGCCCCACATCGGGGTCTGTGCTGACTGCCAGCTCAGAGCCTTGGAGCCTGCTTCAGATTCTGTGTCTCCCTTTCTCTCTGACCCTCCCCTCCCCCCGCTCTCGCTGTCTCTCTCTCTCTCTCTCTCTCTTTCTCTCTCTCAGAAATAAGTAAAAACATTAAATTAAAAAAATTAAAAAAAGAAAAAATTTTGTTAACTTATCATCAAAATCAGCCTACCTGAACTCGTACCAATTTATCAATTTAGTCCTCGTGTTGCTTTACGGCCACACTGATCAAGTCCACTCCCTATTTTACATGAAAGGTGTCACTTGCATCTTCTTAATCTGCCCAGGCTATAAACACTCAGTTCCTACAACTTGTCTTCCTAAGGCATAAGGGTTAGTTATTTCTTGAGTTCTTAAGTAATAACTAACATTTAGTGAGTTCTTCCTATGTGTTAGACATTATTCTAACTAGTTTTATGTATTAACATCTAATCTGTACAAAAACTTTATGATGAATTTACTATGCTCAAGCAGGGCTGTGATATGAGCCAAATGACATCTTTCCAGAAAACTGGAAATGTAAAGCAATGTCTCTAGGACCTAAAAGGCCAGAAAGATGAAATTAAATCTGTGCCCAGTGGCACACAGACACTTATATTAGGAAACTGGCATGGTCTTAGGAGCCATATCCACTGTCATACCAAATACTAGTTGGTTACCTTGAGCCAGTCTCTTACTCTGTGTGGGTCTTCATTTCCTGATTTGCAAAATGAAGATGTTAATACTTCCTTAAAGGGTAGTCATTCAAGTTAAGTGATTTGCTAAATACAAAGTTTCTATCATTATACCTGGTACCTATAGGTAATCTATGAATATTCATTTCATAATCCATTCTTCTTCCCTCTTTTCCTTACATTCCAACAGACAAATTCCTATTATATATGTGCTCCCAATCATTAAACAACAGTTTAGATGTAATCTGAATAACAACAACAACAACAAAAAAGCAGTTATTTCCTAGGTGCTACCCCACTATGGTCGGATTTAAGATAATATTAGTCTCCTTTCCAATCAAAAGAACTAAACGCAGACTGTTCCTGGTTTGTAGGTTTTGCAGAGCACACTGAATTTTGGGTCTGGGAATTAGTGACAATTATACTAATGAACAGCCAATTTGTTGGCGATATTAATAAGAGCCAAATTTGAAGAATACTTCTGGGAATTAGTAGTCTGTATTCCACTGGAGACAATTACAAGTTAGTTATTTCGGCTTTCTAGACCTGTATAAAAGATTAAATAGTTTTTGTTTTTGTTTTTTGTTTCTGTTTTTGT